ACCTGCTGCCTATTAACTCACGGAAGTTACTCTCTTCTGACTTATACTTCTAATCTCTATGAAGGTTGATGGCCTCCACCCAATCTTAGATGTAAGAAGTCTAAACAAATACATCAGAACTTCAGAATTCAGGATGATCACCATAGGGAATCGATGATTGATCTCCATACCAACGAGGCTATGTGGCTCTTGACTTGAAAGATGTCTACTTTCACGTTGGTACAGAGCAGTTGCACAGGAATACCTGAGCTTTTGCTGAAGAGAAAAACCGTCCCCTCCAAGAAGTCAGTAGTGCAGGGTATTTTTTTTTTTCAAAGTCTCTGGCTGTAATGACAGCCCACCTAAGAAAGAGTACATGTTTTTCCATATTTTAAAGGACTGGGTTCTCAAGGCCAGATCACAGCAGGGCTCTTCTGTTCTCTTGATCTAACATACCATTTTGGACTCAGAATCAACCGGCAAAATTTGAAACTGTTCACTTGTCAGGAACTCTCCTTTTGTAGGAGCAGTATATTTTGAATATAAACAACTTCTGCAGCCCTAGTCATGACAGACACCTCCAAACTAGGATGGGCAGCCTGCTTCCAAGATTTACACACATGGATTCTGCAGTCAGGCCAGGGCCTAGTCCTAAGTGCTGTCATTTTGAAGCCTTTTTCTTTGTTTGTTTGTTTTTTAGTTCAGACAGCCAAATCCTGAATTGCTGTTTCGTTGATTGATTAGAGACTACTGCCAACCTTACAGCACAGGTTACCCTGCTGCAAGCAAGCAGCCAAACCTGGCGGACGAAGGCAGAGAGCACCTGCAATATCACATGTGACCCTCAAGGGGGCACTGCAGAGCAGCCCTACCTCCCACACAGAACTAGTGATCTCTCTCTCTCCCGCCATCCATCTCCACCCTCAGACAAACAGGGGCTTGGGACACTATTCCTTACCCATCCTGGCTAATAGCCATTCATGGACTTAACCTCCATGAATGTATCCAGTTCTCTTTTAAACCCTGTTATAGTCCTAGCCTTCACAACCTCCTCCGGCAAGTCCACAGGTTGACTGTGCGCTGTGTGAAGAAGAACTTCCTTTTATTTGTTTTAAACCTGCTGCCCATTAATTTCATTTGGTGGCCCTTAGTTCTTATGGTATGGGAACAAATGGATTCTCTTTCTCCACACCACTCATGATTTTATATACCTCTATCATACCCCGCCTTAGTCTCCTCTTTTCCAAGCTGAAAAGTCCTAGCCTCTTTAATCTCTCCTCATATGGGACCCATTCCAAACCCCTAATCATTTTAGTTGCCCTTTTCTGAACCTTTTCCAATGCCAGTATATCTTTTTTGAGATGAGGAAACCACATCTATACGCAGTATTCAAGATGTGGGCATACCATGGATTTATATAAGGGCAATAAGATATTCTCCGTCTTATTCTCTATCCCTTTTTTAATGATTCTTAACATCCCGTTTGCTATTTTGACTGCCACTGCACACTGAATGGATGTCTTCAGAGAGCTATCCACGATGACTCCAAGATCTTTCTCCTGATTAGTTGTAGCTAAATGATATTGTATGTATAATTGGGGTTATTTTTTCTATGTGCATTACTTTACATTTATCCACATTAAATTTCATTTGCCATTTTGTTGCCCAGTCCCTTAGTTTTGTGAGATCTTATTGAGGTTCTTCACAGTCTGCTTTGATCTTAACTATCTTGAGCAGTTTAGTATCATCTGCAGACTTTGCCACCTCGTTGTTTATCCCTTTCTCCAGATCATTTATGAATAGGTTGAATAGGATTGGTCCTGGGATTGGTCCTAGGACTGACCCTTGGGGAACACCACTAGTTACCCCTCTCCATTCTGAAAATTTACCATTTATTCCTACCCTTTGTTCCCTGTCTTTTAACCAGTTCTCAATCCATGAAAGGATCTTCCCTCTTATCCCATGACAACTTAATTTACGTAAGAGCTTTTGGTGAGGGACCTTGTCAAAGACTTTCTGGAAATCTAAGTACACTATGTCCACTGGATCTCCCTTGTCCACATGTTTGTTGACACCCCCCTCCCCCGCAAAGAACTCTAATAGATTAGAAGACATGATCTCCCTTTACAGGAAACCATGTTGACTTTTGCCCAACAATTTATGTTCTTCTATGTGTCTGACAATTTTATTCTTCACTATTGTTTCAACTAATTTGCCCGGTACTAATGTTAGACTTACTGGTCTGTAATTGCCAGGATCACCTCTAGAGTCCTTAAATATTGGCATTAGATTAGCTATCTTCCAGTCATTGGGTACTGTAGCTGATTTAAAGGACAGGTTATAAACTATAGTTAATAGTTCTGCAATTTCACATTTGAGTTCTTTCAGAACTCTTGGGTGAATGCCATCTGGTCCCGGTGACTTGTTACTGTTAAATTTCTCAGTTAATTCCAAAACCTCCTCTAGTGTCACTTCAATCTGTGACAATTCCTCAGATTTGTCACTTACAAAAGACGGCTCAGGTTTGGGAATCTCCCTAAGATCCTCAGCTGTGAAGACTGAAGCAAAGAATTCATTTTGTTTCTCCGCCATGACTTGTCTTTAAGTGCTGCATTTGTATCTCGATTGTCCAGGGGCCCCACTGGTTTTTTAGCAGGCTTCCTGCTTCTGATGTACTTAAAAAAACATTTTGTTATTACCTTTTGAGTTTTTGGCTAGCTGTTCTTCAAACTCCTTTTTCGCTTTTCTTATTACATGTTTACATTTAATTTGGCAGTGTTTATGCTCCTTCCTATTTACCTCACTAGGATTTGACTTCCAGTTTTTAAAAGATGCCTTTTTATCTCTCACTGCTTCTTTTACATGGTTGTTAAGCTACGGTGGCTCTCTTTTAGTTCTTTTACTGGTTTCAGAGTAACAGCCGTGTTAGTCTGTATTCGCAAAAAGAAAAGGAGTACTTGTGGCACCTTAGAGACTAACCAATTTATTTGAGCATGAGCTTTTGTGAAGTGAGCTGTAGCTCACGAAAGCTCATGCTCAAATAAATTGGTTAGTCTCTAAGGTGCCACAAGTTCTTTTACTGTGTTTTTTAATTTGGGGTATACATTTAAGTTGAGCCTCTATTATGGTGTCTTTGAAAAATGTCTATGCAGTTTGCAGGGATTTCACTCTAGTTACTGTACCTTTTCATTTCTGTATAACTAACCTCCTCATTTTTGCATGGTTCCCCTTTCTGAAATTAAATGCAACAGTATTGGACTGTTGAGGTGTTCTTCCCACCACAGGAATGTTAAATGTTGTTATATTATGGTCACCATTTCCAAGCGGTCCTGTTATAGTTACCTCTTGGACCAGATCATGCGCTCCACTCAGGACTAGATCGAGAGTTGCGTCTCCCCTTGTGGAGCTGTATTGATGGTACATTCATCTGATAGCGCTATTCTTACTGGGAATACAAAATGTCCAGGCAGGCTCCCTGTGCAGAAGATGACAAGACCAATGAGTGATCTCTGAAAACATCAATGGTTTACCATTACTTCTGCCCTTGGAGAACACATGCAATAGATCTTCGCCACCAGCGAGAACAGTGTGTCACGACTTTTGCTCAAGAGCAATTATAGATCAGGAGTCCCTCACAGATTCATTCCTCCTGGTTGGTGCAAAGACCTTTTTATAGGCATTCCCTCCAAAGCCTCTCGGATCCAGACTCCTACAAAAGATCCAGAGAGGCAGTGCAGAAATTCTTCTGAATGCATCAGTGTAGTCCAGACAGCTCTCGTATGCTGGTTTTCTGGTACACTTTCCCCCAGGAGCCGCCATATAGCTTTCATCCAACACCAGACTGCTGTCTCAGATACTTGAGAGTATCCTCTACCCTGATCTAGAATTGCTATATTTGGCTACCTGGATGATAGACTCTTAACTAGTTCTGCCCTCTCTTGCTCTACAAGAATAAGAGATTCTTTTCCAGTCTAGGCACTTGCCCTTCCCAAGGGCTAGGGTCAGAGATGGAAGAGTTTCTCTACTTGGGCGACTATTACAGGGGTTGTTCCAGGGTCCTCCTGTGTTCCCTTATATGGATTACTTGCGATACCTCAAGGAGTTAATCCTGTTGCTAAAAGGCCATTTAGCTACAATTTTGGCATACCATCATCTTGTCCAGTGCGTTCTTCCACTCTACAGCCATGTATTTCTTCATGTATTTGATTTGGTACTCTCAGGCAAGGTCCCATTATTAACGGGGTTGGTGCCCACCCACATATGATACAGATGCTTCTGTGTATGTTTCGAGCAGATGCCCTTTGGGAAGATTTGCAGAGCAGCCACATGGATTTCAATTCACACCTTAATTAAGCACTATTCATTAAATCTGAAGTAAAACTTTTTCAAAAGCACCCAAGTTCCATTTCTAGAAGTGACTTAGGCTCCTATATATTAATAGTACTCCATCTTTGAACTTTGTAGTTAACTTATTTGCTTTGTTCTGGTGACTTTTGGAGGAAAATTTCAAGAGGGTTTGTCCCATACAGAATTAAAATCAAGCTGCTGCTGTCACGGAGAAGTTTCACTATTCATTCTGTTGCTCTCAGGATTCTTCTTTTACACATTTTTGTTTTCTTTCCACTCATCTCTGAATAGCCTCTCCGATTGCCACCTGCTATCCTTCAACATTATTTCTCTGTCCTTCGCTGCTTTTGTAACTACCTATCCATCAAGCTGTCTGATGCTTCTGTTGCATACTCGCCCCCTTGTGTCTTCCCTACCCTCTTTCTTCTGTCAGATCCATTATTTTTACATTTTGCTCTGTGCTTTCATCTACACTTGATTCTTGGTTTCTTCTCATGTCAGTTTGTGAAGTTGCAGGCTAAGAATTTTACGATAAAATGTACATATTGACTAGTTGCATGTAATAAAATAACTAAACAGAGCTAACTTCAGAACAAAAATGTGGAATATCTGTTTTGCTGCCAGTAGTTGTATGCTGTGTTTTGACTGTGCCCTGTGTGTTTTAATTTGATCAGCTGCAACTTGAAGATGATCAGGGTGTAAATTTGGGACTCGAGAGCAGTTTAACACTTCGTCGTCTTCTAGTCTGGACGTATGATCCTAAAATAAGACTCAAGACACTTGCAGCACTTGTTGATCACTGTCAAGGTCTGTTGTTTTGAAATGTATTTCTTTATTTTTTCAAGTTTTGTAACTTCAGGAGTGATTGTGCATGCCAAGCATGGATGCCAGTTATATTAATTATGTTTGAGATTAAACTAGTAGATTTCTGGTAGTGATGTGTCTACCAGGTAAAAATGTTCACCTTTCCTTCAGACAAGTCTGTAAGCAGTAGATCCATCAGACTGTCTTCAGCATTTTAAATAGTTATTTACATAACCGTAGTAATACTCTCATGCACTTTTGTAAATTTACTTAGTAAAAACACATTTAAATTATTATTTACTTTATTTCCTTTCCTGTTGTTGCTGGTTACCAGCATAAATGTTTATGCATAAATGGAAGCTTTCTTCTTATCAAAATAATGCAGATTCTTCAAACTGCCCATCTAACTAAAACTCACTGAAATCTCTTGTACAGGATACATGTGAAAAAAAAAATTAGGGTTAATGGTCACTTTTTCATATTCTTCATAAGTTTCTTACTCTGTGGAGCCTGAAGATTAATGTTCTGCTTTGGAGAATAACACTAAGAGCTACCCTCTTTCAAAATGGGTGCCATCTCCCATTGCTGTAGTGGGTCTGAGTGTTCCTCTGGCATGGAGGGTGTATAATCTGCGCTGAGGAAAACTTGGCTTCACTCTCATTGGAAACAGTGGGAGGCTATGGTCATTTTGAAACCTTTTCTTAATGGAAGAATGCATATGGCCTCGGTACCACAGAGAACAGTGAGAAATGATAGTCATTTTGTAAGAGAGAGTTCATTGAGTTTCTCTGAAGAAAAAGATTTTATGTAGCAGTCTGTGCTGACAGACTTTCACTTACGTGACATAACAGTAAAGAGAGACCATTAATCCTAAGTGTTTTATTACTAAAGCTACTCAGATTGCAAGAGGAAGGGGGAAACTCTTCAGGGGAAGATAGGAAGGATTGGAGAGAGGGGAAGAACTGTGTGTGTGCATGCATGCACACAGAGGAATGTAGGGAGGTGCAAGAGGCAAGGATAATTTAGAGGACGAGAGAGGAAATTGAAATGTACCCTCAAGCTGGGTTTATAGTTGGTTTGCTTCACCAGAGCAGTATAAAGCAAAAACTAACTGGCAAGCTTGGTCTTGCTTGCTTCAGGGTGGCATAAAACAACCAGAGCTTATCAGTGGATGTGTCCAAATGTTAAAATTGAGATTACAGTTCGATATTTAATATTTAAATCTTCCTTCTATTTTTTTTTAATTGTCATAATTCTAAATGTATGTCTACATTGCACACTCCGTTTGGTGGTGTGTAGAGTACATACGCTACATGACCCCCTTTACCCCCAGCAGGGGTATAAATAGCAGTGCAGATGATGAGGCACTGCTTAGGTGAGTAGACTAAAAGACACACCTAAACCATGTGGTGTACCTGGGTATGTACCATAAATAGCTCTCTACTTGTGCAAGCTGCACTGCCCTCATCTAGACTGCTATTTTTAGCAGTGTAGTATCCCGCTGCCTCCCTACTGCCAGTCTCTTCCTGCAGCAGGGAGCTGCCAGAGCCTTTTACCACTGTGGGAAAAGGCTCTAGCCGGGGGGCAGCAGGGAAAGATTCCAGAAGCTCCCTGCTGCCAAGACTTTTCCTATGCCTCCACACTACCAGAGGCTTCCACTGACACGTGAAGCCACACACCCCAGTGTGACTGCAGTCTGCTTTTCTCCACAGAATGTAGCTATATATACCCTAAGCACTGCTGCAAGTGGCATGCATTGTAGACATAGCCTAAATGTTTATATGCATTGGATTTAAAATTGCTGTATAACAAGGTCAGAGATGGACAGACATACAGCTAGTCATCAAGGCCTGAAAAAAGTTATTTTTGAAGTATAAAGTACATAATCAGAACCTGCTCTCTTTCCTTCGCCTGTCTCCTTAGGAAGAAAAGGTGGTGAACTAGCATCAGCTGTCCATGCCTACACTAAAACAGGAGATCCCTATATGAGATCCCTGGTACAACACATTCTTGGCCTAGTGTCCCATCCTGTCTTGAATTTCCTTTACCGTTGGATTTATGATGGGGAGCTGGAGGACACATACCATGAAGTAAGTTATGTGTAACTAGTAATGTTATCAGGTTTCAGAGTGGTAGCTGTGTTAGTCTGTATCAGCACTCCATACATCTGATGAAGTGGGTTTTTAGCCCACAAAAGCTTATACCCAAATAAATTTGTTAGTCTTTAAGGTGCTATAAAGACCTCCTCGTTGTTTTAGTAATGTTGAGACCTCTTTCTAGTTCTTATTTGAGTAAAAATCAATGAGACGTTTGAGTGAGAACTGCAGGATTGAACCCACTATGAGCATAAGAATAGTTCAGTTGCACATTAAAGTATGAAATTGTCTGTGTAATTTACTGTGTATGTAACTAAACTACATGTGGTAATGACCTGACAGATTTGGATAACTGATTCATCTAGTCCAGCATGCTGCCTCTACTCGTGGCAAAAAACTGGTGTTAGAGAGCCCAGATCCTCTCAACCTCTTTCTGGAAAGTGTACTCCTAACATTATGGTGTACAAAATTTGTTCTAGCCCTTGTAAGCAATCCATTTTGTGCCTGAAGTATGAGGTTTGACTATTTCTCTTGTTTTGTAGTTTATTTTTATTAATGTCTTATGTTTACAGTTCCTACTGTTATCCTAGGCATTAGTGCTAATAATTTCCATAGATTCCAAGGCCAGAAGGGACCACTGTGAGATCATCTAATCTGACCTCCTGTGTAACATGGGCCATAGAACTTCCCCAAAGTAATTCCTGAAGCATATCTTTTAGAAAAACACCCAGTCTTGATTTAAAACTTTTTAGTGATGGAGAATCCACCACAACCCTTGGTAAATTGTTCCAATGTTTAATTACACTCCCTGTCTCAAATTAATGCCTTATTTCCAGTCTGAATTTGTCTAGCTTCAGCTTCCAGCCATTGGATTGTGGAATACCTTTCTCTGCTAGATCGAAGAACCCATTATTAAATATTTGTTCCAGATGTAGATATTTAAAGTGTAATCAGGTCACCCCGACCTTTCTTTTTAAGCTAAATAGATTTAGCTCTTGGAGTTTTTCACTTTTTCAAATTCTGTAGAAAATGTTGAGAATGAAATACCTTTAAAAGTCCTACAAAATTTGCTTTGACCTTTGCAGTAATAGAGTCCTATAAAATGCATCCTTAATACATGAATAACTAGAACATCACCTTCATAGTACCTCCTTATTCTATCATTTAACAAAATTAATCATCAGAGTATTCAACTCTTACATAAGGCTTTTTATTCACAGATCTTGTTGGCACTTCACTGTTAACTGTACATGTTTACACTTACCTCAATCATCTTCAAGCTTGCTTTTCTCCTTGCCAGGCTACAACTCTGTTTATGTAATCTTATTTTGAATTTCAATGAGATTTAGAAGCCTAAATTCCATTTTTAAAAAACGCTTAGGTTACCGAGTTACCGAGCATATCCACTGCTAGGCTTCTCAGATCCTGGCTCCCGCTCACTGGGGTTCATTTACATCTGTGGGCAAGGCTGGTTTAAGGCCTAGGCAGAATAGGGATCTGCTTAGACCCCTGGCTCAGTCATGTCACAGCATCAGAATCGATTTCATTTAAAAATACCTTCATAAACATTCATAGCTACAAAGAAAAGCTTGAAAATGTGACTTGATTGTAACTGATGCAACAATGTCTGCTAAAATCGTGCAGAAGAGGAGGAGGAACAGCAGCAACTACTAGCTATAGGGAGAAAGCTATCTGGCTTGTGCAGAGGAGGCCACTTTGGTTATGTGGGGACAAGGCTTGGATATCTTCCTGACCTCTGACTGACTGACTCCCCCTTGGTGAGTTTCTCATTCCCCTGGCCTCAGCTCCTCACATCTAGCGTTCTAGCTCTACAGGTCAGGTTTATTCAGAGGAAGAAACTGATAGTACTCTTCCAAGTGCCATCCACTTGTGGCACCAAGTTGAGTTGCTACTCAGTAGATTGTGAAGTACTTCATGATATGACTGTCACTCTTCTTTCTTACATGTTTTGATCGGCACTGAGAACAATTTTGACATTTAAATTTTCCTCAGTGGGCACCCCATTGAGATAAATGTTAGTTCACACTTCCCAGAACTATTTCAGGCTTTCTGCAGGCTCGCACAGGCATCTTTGCATCAACTGCACTTGGTTGAGAACAAGATGGAAACCTCAGCATTCTAGATCACCAACCCAGCAGAAGCCTGCCCAATTTGAATATAGAATGTGGCACTTACCGCATTTTGGACTACACTTTAAATAGTAAGCCAGGAATTCTCAAAAACTCTTTGATAGTGTAAACCACATCTTAATGGAGACCAAGGACTTGAATGTGTCTACATAGGAGTAGGAAATGTCCCTTATGGGAATGTCCCTTCCCCTTTGTGATCACATTGCTTGCCTAATTGGAATTTAGCATGCCTGCCTACCAGACAAAGTGACATTAGGAAATAATTTTTATAAGTTCCTATTTGTTTTTAATGAGATTTAGCAGTTGGCTATAAGTAGGAGAACCAGTACTATGTGGCCAGTCAGCTCTCCATGAATCACAGTTTGGAAACTTCTGTTAGGTACTTTCCAAACTCCTATGTAGACACATTCAGGTTTCATGAGTATGTGGTGTATTCCTGTCGCATCATCTTTTCTGGATACTATCAATCTACTAATCAACCAACTAAGTTTAATGAAGAACAGGAACTGACAAAACAGCAGCTAATTTACCAAATACTAGGATCTTAATGAAAGTGCCCCAGCCAGCTCAGCAGCAGATCCTGTTGTTTTTTTTTAATTAATTTAGCTATTGCTGTGTTGTCAGTACCTTCAGAATCTGAGTAAACAAGAAAATACATAAAACAGTATGTTGTGTGTTAATTAAGGTTAGTCTGTACATAACACTTAACACCAATCCCAAAGAACAAGAAATTGTAAGTTAAGGCATCTAATTATGCATGCCCTCTACACACCTCACTACAGACAATGCATCACAACCATAACTCTCCCCTCATGGGGATGAAAGTGTTAGTTCGTTCTTCAGACTGCATCATTACAAACAGACCAGATTTCCCTCAGCCCACTATCCTATCTGTACATCTCTCACTCATGTTTGAGGTAGAGGGTATTGGAAGGCAGGAGGGGCTTGGAAGAGCCTGCCAGTCTGCAGTCTGGGCTGTTGCTCTTTGTTATATTATTGTGGGTAGCTGCCTGATCCTGACTTTCCAGTTAAACTCCTTTGATAGATCTACAAGTCCTTGTTTAAAGAACTTAGGTGGGAAGAGAGTGCCCAGAAAGGGAGCTACCTCCTCCCAAACTCCTGGCTTCTCATTGGCCTCATCCTTTGCAAGTAGGGACTGGTTAGGCAGAATGGCCCACATGAAAGAGATCATACCTGAGACAGATCCAGTGTATGCCCTCCCAGATGGAGGCTTCTCCAGATCAAGCCAGGGTCTTTTCCATAGAAGATATCAGATCTCTGTGAAGAGACTATTCAAGTCAAATAAAAGGCCTTTCTCTCAAAAAGACTCTCTGGGCAAAGGGAACAGCTGGCAATATGCTGGGGTTTTTTCTACCACCTGTCAGAGATTCTGTGAGACCAGAGATGTGATCCTTTTTGTGCATATCGCAGACTCTTCCCATAGAGGGCATAGCTTCCTTGAAAGATCCTTCTGACGAGAAGCTCAGGAGAAATAATGAGCTAGTTTTGGTGGATTCAGCTATGGCTCTTTTTGTGTGCCAAAATGCTGCTGTCCACCAAAAAACACTGCCTACACAGCATAAAAGTACCAAAATGCTTATACAAAAGTACAGTTTGACTTCTATGTAATATGTGCATGAACTATTCAAGGAAACAACAAAACAAAAGAAATCCACTCCCCAAAAAAGCCCAAAGGCGGCAACACCTACTTGACATGGGACTATAAATAGACATGTATATGTAATATGCCTCCCCTTAGAAATGAAATACAAGAGGGGGTGTATGTGTATGAAACGTAAATACCAGGTAAATTCCTTTTATATCTAATGCTTCTGTCAACCTGCAGTTTTTTGTAGCTTCAGATCCTACAGTTAAAGCTGACCGGTTGTGGCATGACAAGTACACTTTGAGAAAATCAATGATCCCTTCGTTCATTACAATGGATCAATCAAAAAAGGTATGGGAAAAAGGATTATTTGTTTGATGTCATTGACCCTTTGCTGCTGTTTATGGCTGGAATAACATTAAGAACATGTAGCATAAATTTAGCCAAATGTTCTGAACCTGCCATGTTGTCTGAAAAAGGTGTGTGGATAACCTGGATTGTTACTTTGAGATGGAGGAAGAAACTTTGTTTTGTGTAATTGAATTACTTTGAAAAAAAAGGACTTTTAAAAACAAGTTGTGCTTGATATATTTGACTACATCCACGGGTTCGTCTATTTTTCAGGGGTTGGGAGTGAGGCAGCAACAATTAACTTACAGACAACCTCTCATTTTTATTATTTATATAAAAATAATTTCTAAAATGTTATTCTCTTGTGTTTAGGTCCTTCTAATAGGAAAATCCATAAACTTCTTACATCAGGTTTGTCATGACCAAACTCCATCTACAAAGATGATAGCTGTGGCAAAGTCTGCAGAATCACCAAAAGATGGTATGATATCAAAACTGATAGCTTAATTGTACCTTTGAACTTCAGACCTGTTGTAATTAGTCTTACACAGTATGTGACTTTAAACTATGGAGTAACTTTTTGGTTTTGGGAAGACCAGGAAGGGGAATTAAAAAATAATAATAAATAAATAAATTCCTGTATATTCCTTAAAACCTGTATCTTAAGTCATTCTACAAAAGATGTCTCAGGAAGATGTAAATATGTAATTTCCCTCTTTAGTTCTGTAGTTGTGTATATAATGAGAAGTGCAGGCAAAAATCAAACCATTTCCATCTTTTGACAAATTTTTTGTTGTAGAGTTCTAATCATTCAAGTTTATTATAAAAATCCTCATGATAATTAGTGACCTTTTGTCAGATTAATTTCGCAAGATTTTGTAATAATTCTGAGAGCTGTTAAATTCTATGATATCTGAAATTATTCTCACGGTTATAATTAAAAGAATGAACGGTACAGACATGAGGGATAAAAACCTTTCTGTGATAAGAAACTCGGACACATGGTGAAAGGCAACAAGAGCCAAGTGGCATAGAACATATATGTGGCCTACAAAAGAGTCGTCATCTTCCATCAGATCTGATTTTAACAATACATAATAGTCAGTGTTTGAGCACTCTAACATAAGAGAGACAAGTGGATGAGGTAATATTTTTTATTGGGCCAACCTCAGTTGGTGAGAGAGATAAGCTTTTGAACTTATGCAGAGCTCTTCTTCAGGTCTGGGAAACGAGTACAACCTGAAGAAGAGCTCTGTGGAAGCTTGTCTCTTTTTGGACCAACTTTTGTTGGTGAGAGAGATTACCTCACCCACTTTGTCTGTCTAATAATCTGGGCCAACATGGCAACAACAACACTACACTCTAACCTAAGTAATTTGAAAATATTTTATAAGATAACTTTTTAAGAGAATTAATGTGATTTATTAAAATGGCACTCTTATGAGAGAGAACATAGTAAATTCTTGTTCTCATTTATGATGACATATCCCCTACAATGATTGGAAGAGTGTCCTGTTGTTGAATACTTGTGAAAGTCCAACCAGATTCATAATTAAAAATATTTTTTACTCTAAATGTTATGTTTGTTTATTAAAAACTAAACAAAGGTGAATAACATGCAATACCTACGGTCCTACCACATCCCCTGCCAATCAGTCATTGTGTGAAGAAGTACTTTCCTTTGTTTTAAAACTGCTGCTTATTAATTTCATTGAGTGAGCCCTCGTTCTTTTGTTATGGGAAGGAGTAAATAACATTTTCTTACTCACTTTCTCCACACCAGTCAAGATTTTATAGACCTCTATCATATCTGGAAGCTGTTCCATACCCGTAATCATTATTTTTTTTGCACTTTTCCAGTTCTAATATATCTTTTTTAAGATGGGGCAACCAGATTTGCACGCAGTATTCAAGATGTGGGCATACCATTGGTTCATATAAAGGCATTATGATATTTTCTGTCTTATCTATCCCTTTCCTAATGGTTCCTAACATTCTGTTAGGTTTTTTGACTGCTGCCACGTATCGAGCGGATGTTTTCAGAGAACTATCCACAATGACTCCAAAATTTCTTTCTTGAGCGGAAACAGTTAATTTAGGTCCCATCACTTTGTGTATAGTTTGGATTTTGTTTTCTAATGTGCATTACTTTGCATTTATCAACATTCATAAATGTTCCTTTCAAAAAATTAAACCGTGATGTTTCTATGGTTGTTAAATAGACTCCCAATACTATGTTGTGCATACTTGATCAAAGTATGCATTTTGAATATCATATTAATAAAATGATTTTTTGTGGGTATATGAACCCTATGCACTTTTTCCGTCCCCTCCTAACTCTTTTTCATGTAATCTAAATTCTGTGGGTGTAAAAGCTTTATCCTCTGAAGTTCCTGACATCTGGTAAAATCTCCTTTCTACCATACCTGTTCTCAAATTTCATCCAATTTGCCTTTCTTCTCTTGACTACTTCTGAACTGAATTTAAAAAACAAAACAACTTTTGATTCTTCTGCAGGAGACTCTTTCCCTGCAGTTTCATTCTGCAGTTCCCTCACTGTAGGAGCTCGACCTCTTCCTTATGCTCCCTCCTGCTTCCTGCTGCTTTTTATATTTGAATAATCTTATTCAACTCTGGTGGGACTCATTTTGTAATCTGAGCTAGTTTAGCCCCAGGTTCTCCAGCACATGAGCAAGCCACCCTTTTACATGGGGGAATTAATTTTTGAGTTTCAATGAACAAAGGAAACAAACTTGAAAAAAAGTCTCTAATCTTTCAATTGCAGTAATTTTAGATGTTACAAATGACACTAGTTAAAATGTTTTCAGACAGCAGTAGGTTTTTTGTTTTTGTTTTTTAAATTGACTCCACTCTAGTCCTACTCTATTATGATCTTGGCAAGATTGGGGACTATAACCTCAATACACAGTTTGTTTTGTTTTGGTTTGTTTGTTTCTGTAGTGACAGTTATGCTAGATGTTGTACAAACATAGAACAAAAAGACAGCCCCTGCCCCTACCAGTTTACAATTTAAGTATAAATGATATGGTAAAATAAAATTATACAAATTAACATAGCAATGGTTATCTTGCCCATCCACACAAGAATAGAAAATTCTGTCAGTGGTGAAACTGCATTTCTAACTCATCCTGCCCTGCCTGTGCATATGTTCTTATTTGCTTAATCTGCCACTGTTGTGAAATTTCCCTTTATATAATTAATTATAATAGGGCAAATTAAAGAGAGTTCCAGTCTTAATTCTTTATTCTTTTGCTTTTGTCATTTTAAATCAAATCCTTAACTTTACCTGAATATATGCCTTATTGCTTTAATTAGCTTTGGATTTTTTTTACAATAGCATTAAAAACAAATCTTATGGAAATGTATGAGAGAATGCGACAGCTGTTAGTATATTAAAAATATGTATTCAGCCAGTTTAAAAATATACACAACTTACCCATGCACAACAACGTTAAAAATTGTTATAGTCCTAGGTGTATTTAGATGGATTGTAAAAATTGATGTATACTTTAGGTGTATGTATAGGTGTAAATCTTTATTTAAGAAGTCTTAAACTTATGAAATATTTTGCTGGTGAATCCTAAATGGTACATTTGGAAATACAGGGTTAACTTTTGTAAAACATTGCAACCTAGATGCATGTGTGAAGGCAAATATTGAAGTAATGTGGTGAATTTGCACAAAATTTTGTACGTCGTTTCCCATTTAGATAGTTCAGTCCATGTTGGTACACAATCAGTACTGTTTTACCATTGTAATTTTCACAGGAAAATTGCATGGCTAGAATTCATTACGCCTAAGCAAATTTTAAATGAGTAAAAACTGACACATTTTGATATTAGTTTGACAAACACAGTCTAAATTCACCAGTTTTTTTAGAAGTTTGGCTTAAAGGGAAGTCAACTGGTTAAGTTTTTAGCAAATTATTTTATTCAAACATAAAATTGCTGTCTTTAAACTAACACTGAGTTCTGACAGTGAGTGGGTGTAACCCAGGTAGCTTAAATGCAGTGGAAATATAGTGATTTGTAGAATACTGTCATTATAATGACTAGAAATAAGTTTATTTACAACAGAAATTTTAAAAAACAGTAGCTGTAACTGAAGACAAATTGTCAGACATAAGCTATGTTATTAGTTCCCTTTTTAATTTATAAATCCACCACTAGAATCACATAGTTCCTAATGTGGTGCTGAATTTACTAATCTTTCTTTGTAAAAGAGGTTTCCTGCATTCTCTATCTAATTACTTCCAGATGATACCAGATGTGATTGGAAAGAGAGCTTGTCAGTCTCGTTTAACTTTTGATATTTTTGATGAACAATTATAGAATGACTTTACTGTTGTAATATAAATTAATTGTAAGCTTTCTTGATGGTATACTTAGACTTCTGTATGTTTACTTATTATATGACGTGAAAGTGAAGCTTGCTGCCTAGAGCATAAAGTTGTAATTCTCTGTTTGGTCATTACTTTGACCTGCTTACTATCAGTGCTGATAACAAAAAAAAAAACCCCACAACAAAACAAAAAACACCCAAACAGAACTTGGTTTCATGGAGGTAGAGAACTATATCACTGTAGGGTTTCAAATTCCAGTATGTTTAAACTTAAAGGTTTTGCAAATGCCATTGTTTGTTTTTGGCTTCAAGAATCTACTACTTTGAAGAGTAGCCAGTTTGTCATAATACTACTTAATTACTTAAGTGGTACCTGTTTCCTAGTGGAATGGAGAAGAGAGAGTGAGGTTATGACTGACTTGTGTGTGACAAAGTTGGGGTTAAAAGTGTTGAGTTCCTGGCTCCCATGTTCAGTCTGGGAAATTACATTACATCTTGTGATGCAATGGTAGTGCAATGAGTGAAATAAGCTCAATGCCATACTAGAGTTGCAATTTCCAAACAGGTGACAGTAATCATTGGATGTTTAAACTTGTATCCATGGGAAGAGATATTTATAGGAAGTGTAGAGAAGGTTATTCAGGTTGCCTGTCTCATAATGCTAGAACGAGAGCTCAATGTATGAAATTGAGAAAGAAATCAAATGTAAAACTGATAAAAGGAAGCTGTTCTTATACAATGCACATATGTATTTGTTCATTGTTCACGTCACACTCCCTATTAGTACCTGGCCCATGCTGGGGAAGCTAATGATCTAATCAGCGAACCAAATTCAGTGATGAATCCTCGTCACATGCCACCTGAGGCATGTTGCACATATGCTAAGAAGAAATCCTTTTGCAATAACCCCGACTTAGCTGCCTTACACCCAGAACAGAAATGGCACTCTATGCAGCTGTTGATCAAAGAGAAGTATTATGCAAGGTCTGAGCTTAGGTCATGTGATTAGACGTTCTAGCTCCTTTCTGGCTGATTTGTCTGCTATTTTGTCTTGCCTTCCACTTGGGCTCAAAACACCCTGTAGAAGGAAGTGGCTCCTCAGGGACTGAGCTTTGGAAT